GGTTCTATAGCCATATGGTATCAGGGCTTTTATTTTTTATTTATTCACATTTAGTATCCATTTACCTTACTAAGTATCCATTTTCTAATTCAGTAACTCCTCATTCTTTGTTTCTTCTACTTTGACATGGCCATCACTGAGTACAGTCCCCCTCTGTTCTCTTGCTCTAACTTCCTACTTTGACTTTCACTTGTTGCCTTTATTCTTATGGTTGTTTGTGATTGTGTAACTGTAGTTGGGCTCACTGAGAAGTGGACCATTGTAGAGGCACCATGGTTAGAGATTACTGGGATATTGACTGTTTCCTGGACTTTGTCAGGTCCAAGCAGGCAGTAATTTATGAGTACATCCTTAAAGTTGTCCTTGGCCAAACAGGTGGTCTTTAGGTTGGTTTCCCGTGGGAAAGTGCTAACGTGTTGAACCCAGGTGTTGCCTTCAGATATTGTAAACTTATAACAAAAGAGTATGTATGCTGTCCTTAACCTAATTAATATGACAGAAACAAATACTCTGAATACTGTCATGCCCAAAAGTTCCCTTGTAACTGTATTCAATTTCTACTTCTACTTCCCAAACCAGGCAACCACTGGTTTGCTTTCTGACATAGCATTGTGTTTTCTAGAACTGTTATAGAAAAGCCATCATATAATGTATAGTCTTTATCACTTATGTACTCAGCCTAATATTTTTGAGGTTCATCCATGTTGCTTGTATTTATAGCTCATTACTTTTTATTGTTGAATAGTATTCTATTTTATGGATAATACCACATTTGTTTATCCATTCATTAGTTTATGTATATTGCTTATTTTCAGTTTTTTAATAATCATTTGACTGTTGGCATACATGTCTTTGTGTGGACATGTTTTCTTCTCTCTTGAGTAGATACCTAACAGTGGAATTGTTATATGTGGTGAGTGAATGTTTAATTGTTTTTTAAAAAAGGTATTTCTGTCTCTGTTTTTTTTTAATATCTTTAACATCTTTTAAAAAAGGTATTTCTGTCTCTGTTTTTTTTAATATCTTTTAATAGACTATATGTTTTACATCCCTACCAGCAAGGTAGAAGGTTCTAATCTCTCCAAATCCTTGCTGAAAACATCTTAAATGTATTTTGGCCAGTCTAGTGTGTGTATAATAGTATTCTGTCTGGTTTTAATTCACATCTTTATAATGACTAATGATGTTGAACATTTTTCATGCTTTATGTTCTTTGGTGAAATGTCTGTTCCAATGTTTTGCCTATTTTTAATAGGTTGTTTGTATTATTATTGAGTTTTAAGAGTCTATATATTCTGGATACATGTCTTTTAATAAGATAGGTACACTTACAAATACTTTCTCCTAGTCCATGGCTTACTTTTTCATTTTCTTAACTGTTTAAGTTTTTAATTTTTACAAACTCCAGTTTACCAGGTTTTTTTCTTTTATGGATTGTGTATTTGGTATCATATTTAAGAGATCTTTGCATTACCCAAAGTCACAATTATTTTTTCTTGTGTTTTCTTCTAGATGTTTTAGAGATTTTGTGATTATATTTAGGTCTATAATCCATTTTGTCTTAACCTGTGTTAACAGTATGAGGTTAAAAGTCCTAGTTATTTAATTGTTTTTTTACTATTTTGGGTCCATTGCATTTAAATGTAAATTTTAAGGTC